CCAGGTCCCCAAACAAAAGCTCCCTCTAGCGCCGGGCTGCTGCTGTCAGAGCTTGGCTGCCCAAAGGGGATAGTTTATTTTATTAGTTTAATACAAACGCATAATGCATATTTTGTGTGTGTGTGCGAGAGAGAGAGAGAGAGAGAGAGAGAGAGAGAGAATGAGAATGGAATTCACTGATGTATTCAAGAGAAGTGGCACCCCAGCACGTGCAGAAGGTGGAGGGAAACCTTGAGCCATTCTGTTTTAAGATGATTCTTTCTTGCCTTTGCTGCCTGCCAGCAAAGGACGGGATACCCACCTACTGTATGTGAGACGTGGACAGGGACAGCTGCACAGTATGGCATTTGCTGCAGCAGAAAGGGTACCTTCCAAGTTTGGGGAAGCCAATGATCCAGAGAGCACAGTGCCATCCTCACAGCCCAACTCAGCAAACACAACCACCATGCCACCACGTTGCCCCCGATGCTCCCAGCCACCTGTGAATCCACTTAATTATCCCCATCTACACACAGGACTACAGAAAAGCAGACCTCACAATCCAAGGGTCACACAGCTCTGAACTGCTGGGCAGACATCATTCTCCTGGGTCTTGGTATCCTGGGTGGAAGAGAGTGCTGTGTCCATGGTGAGGTTGTCATTGGGGTGAAATGATGGGCTGCTTTTCATGCCCCCAGCTGGTGTCTGACATAATGTGTCATAGCCACAGCTACAACCTGAAGGAAGGCAGAGGAGGAACATGATGTCTGTGGTTGTTGGCTAGGATTATTTTGGTTTTATTTCTGTTGTTGTTGTTGTTGTTGTTGTTGTTGTTGTTGAATCACCTAATGTAGTATTACAGCCTGAGACAAGTTGCCCAAGTTCCTGCTATGTCAGCTGGGCTTCCATCAAGCCAGAGTAATGGAGGCATCACTCTTCTTCCTAAGGAGGGACATATTTTCTGAATTAGCACTGAGCTTGGGCAGAGAGAAATACTCATAGCCAGGGATCCTGTAGCCGTGACAAAACCCCATTCTAAGTGCCCCAAGCCACAAAGGGTAGTATACCTCAGAAGTGGGGGTGTCTGTAGGATGAATTCAGGAAAGCCAGGTCTAGGAAGTGAATATATGTTATCAGGACAAGCACTGTGCTGGCTCCACTCTCAGTCAAGCCCCTGCCACAGAGGGGCTTCTCCCGTGCCAGGCTACCTTCTCAGTGTCATGAGCCTTTCCTTTCTCAACAGTTCTAATGGCAGTGGCAGGGTGGCCTTGCTTGGGTTATGTGTCCTTCCTTGAGTCATAGTGGGCTTGAAGAATGGAAGGGTCTCTGGCCTGGCATCCTAAGGCCATTTCTGAATTAGGAGTAGAGTTATAGCCATACCACTATGAATGGATCCAAGTAGGAATGGAGGTTGGGCAGGCAAAACACAGGCATCCACCACATTGATGGAACTCTGCACAGTCACTCTAATCGGCTCCCTAGACAGAAGGGCTGCAGGGCCTGTGCCACCCTCACACCCCTAATAGAGTCTCTTTGGCTCCCAGGTACCCTGCAGTCCAGTCCTGAGACCACAACCCCTTCGGGGTCCTTCAGCGGCTCCCAGGATGACAGTGATTCAGACATGACCTTTAGTGTCAACCAGTCTTCCTCAGCATCAGAGTCATCTCTGGGTAAGAAAATGCAAACCCCCTAGGGGCAGAGGTTCCTGACATCATGGGTCCTTTGGCTGTGGCAGTGGCCTTGGCCTTTGCTGGCTGAGCAGAGCTGCTGTATTTCCCGTTACATCTGCTCTTGCCTTCTGCTGTGCTCACTGGGAGCATAAACATGGAGATTCAAAGGTCAAAGGCTGCTTATCTTTGTGCTTTTGGGGACAGCAATATCAAAAACGGGTAAAACTCAAGAGGTGAACGAAGATGGGGCGCTCTCCACACTGTGCCCCATTTCCACCATGGGAACACTGTTCTTGGGATTGCCCAACAGAGCCCTCCTGAAAGCCATGTCATTAATGATGTCCTCTCTCCCTTCTGGCAGTGACAGCCCCCAGCTCCCCACTGAGTCCCCCGGTGTCCCCAGTCTTCTCTGCACCTGAACCAGCAGGCAGCAGGAATGGAGAGTGTACAGTGTGCTTCGACAGCGAGGTGGACACAGTCATCTATACGTGTGGACACATGTGCCTCTGTCACAGCTGTGGCCTGCGGCTCCGAAGGCAAGCACGGGCCTGCTGCCCCATCTGCCGGCGGCCCATCAAGGATGTCATCAAGATCTACAGGCCGTAGCTATGCATCTGGCTTGGCCAAGGCAAGGTCACCTTTCTGAAGCCCCTGTTAGGTGGGCGACACCATGGCTATCAGGGAGCCCAAGGTCAGAAGCCATCTCTCATCTGCCACTCCGCAGTGATGAGCAAGGCAGGACAGGTGTGGAGATGAGGCCCTGGGGGCCAGAGCCCAAGCAAACATTGCTTCTGGCTCAAACACACGCTGCCCCAAAAAGCCTGTCCCAAGATTCAGCTCAGGAACTGCCTGGCAGATCACCTGCCTCTTGGTGACCTTCAGCTGGGAAAGGGTGCCCTCTGTCTGTGCAATGCTTGTTTGGGGTTGGGTTGAGTGTGTGTGTCGGGGTGGGGGGAGACAGCATAGAGAATGAGTGAGAGAGAATGTGTGAGAGCAAGTGCGTGGAAGTATGATACAGGGATCTGTCGTCTCTGGGAGGGTATTTAACACTAAGGAATGTGCAATCGGGGCCCAAACATTAATGTGACGGATGTCCACTTTCTGGGGATATGGTTTTCTGCAATGAGCTAACTTTGAACACAGGAGTCCCGAACCTACACAGAACTCCTTCAATGGTATAGAAAGAGGCACTCACATTTTCTAAGGGAAAGCAAAAATAGCTCACTGTTTACAGCTCCAAGCAGCAGCTCCTGCTGAGGAGGAAGGTGGGCAGGGGACATCAGAGCACAGGTGGCTTTTACTGCATACTCAGAGTAGGAGTTGCCTTCCCATGGCAGCCGAGGACAGGTGTCCCCAGCTCTATCATCCTAGATTCGTCCATCCCCAGTCAACACAGTGAGCACCTTGCCCCTCACCATTGCTACATGCTCTGGAGTCTTGTAATGCCCCTCCCGTTCTCTGGGCTGACTCCATAACTCTCATGGTAGAATTAAGGTGAGCTGTGGGCATGTCCCAGTGGCCAGCTGGCAGAAGCTAGAAGACCCAGGCTCCCCATCTGAACCTTGTCCTGATCCTCTCTTTTTCCTGTTGACTGGTAAGGTGTGAACTAGTACACTTGTCAGATACTTGTGAAGAGCTGACTGAGATGCTCCCCACTCCTGGCCCTGTTGGCTGTCATTTCCCAGGACCCTGGCCCTGGCCCCAGACATTGCCATTGCTGACATTTCTCCTTTCTGAGGAGCCCAGGTTCCGGGGTTATACCTGCCTGCTGTGAGCTGTACCTTTGGAAAGGTTCCTTGGCCTCTCTGTTTCTTGGTTCCTACTTGGAAGCCTGGCGCCAGAGCACCCAGGAGACCAACACACTCTGGGAGAGCTTGAGAGACAGCTTGTGAGGAGCAACTTTTTCTCACAGCTAATCTGGCCATCTCTTGCTATGAAGGAGGAAGAGGGGCAGAGAAACATTCAAGAAGTGAGGTTCATGGAACACGCTTTGACAGGAGCCATGGACCACCTGACAGCAGCCCAAGCCACAGGCAGTACGCCTGGGTGGCTGGAGGCCCTGTGCTGCTTCTCTGTCTGGGAGTGTCTGGATCTAGCCCAATCACAGTTCCCCCCTTCCTGTCCCCAGCAAGAGCCTCTGAGAGCTAGCTGACTTTTCTATAGGGACTGCAGGTCATGTGTCCACCCTTTCACTTTGCAGCTGCATCTTTTTTTTTTTTTCCCAAGAAAGGGTTTCTCTGTGTAGCCCTAGCTGTCCTGGAACTCAATCTGTAGATCAGTCTGGCCTTGAACTCACAGAGATCTGCCTGCCTCTGCCTCACCAGAGTTGGAACTAAAGGCATGTGTTACCACTACCTGCATGCAGTTAAATCTTTTAAAGAGCCACAGGAACCCGTGTTTGCCTGGGTGAAAGTGGGAGAGTCAGGTACATTGGGTACCCAACTCAATGTATTCAGCCAAGCTTTTGGCTTCTCTGTGTGTTGGGCATGTGCAGAGCCACCTTGTCACCAGTGATGGTACCTGGGTTTCCAGCAGCCATGGCCCTGCCTGATCATAGTCTCTAACTGCCCCAGTCTCAGTGGCCTGGGAGAACCAGCTCCGCTTTGCCTCTTGCTTTCCCAGCTGGACCCTAGCGTTGCAGCAGGGGCTACCCACAGCCACTACCAGGAAATCAGGAGCTGAAGTCCTAGACCTAGGGGTGGACTAGGCATGCTCCTGGTGACCTGTCATCAAGGCAGAAAGGCACCACTGGCTTGTTTAACCTGCTCTGCAGCCACTATAAATAGCTGCCTTGTTTCCCACAGAGCAGTAGGGACTGTTTCTGTTCTAAAAGCCAGGTATTTGCCAGTGCTCTGAAAGATGGAGGCATGCCCTGGAGGCAGTGTGTGTGTATCATCTCAACAAGGGACAGGAGGCAAAGAAGCCAGTGTCTTGCATTCACACCTCACGCATGGCTGCACAGTGAGTTAAAGGGACACCTGGGACAGGACCCTGTGTACAGGTTTTAGTGCCATCTGAGACACAGATCATTAGGAGGCATGCCGTGTTATTAGTAACTGTGAACACCACATCCACCTTAGCCACAGGATGATGGGATGCAGCTTCCAGGTCCAAGACTTTGTTCAGCTGCAGGAAATGGGTCCTCAGGATCTAGAAAACATAGTGTTGTCCTCATTTGGCAGGGGAGATCTGAGGTCCTGTGAGAATCATAAGGCTTACTCAGCAGGAAATGGTGGGGGGCTAGGATTCCAGCCTCATATCTAGTCCTGGCCAGCCGGCCCACTTCTCAGGAAGCTCAGCACTGCCCAAGTCTTCTTTCCTGAAACTTACCTGGAGAGCCTGGGCATCTGTGCAGAAGGTTCTGGGCCACAGTCCCTCTGCTGCCCACACCCTAGAGGGTACAAGTGTCCTCTAAGGCTCATGCATTCCGTGCCCTCCTGCACCAGGATGTCATGTGGGGCTGCTCTGGAGAGGGACCTTAGGCCATCTTGTGGCCACTCCCCTCTCGGGCAGCACCCCACCCCATTTTCCAAGCTCACTGATAATTTTGTGCCCTGTGAGCTTCAAAAGCCAGGAGTAGGATGGGGGATGCTAGGTGACACCACCTCCTTCATGGCAGCCAAATCCCTGCCCACTGGAACTTCCTGGAAAATGGTTGTTTCCCAAACAAAGTGGACTTCTCCTCCTACTGCATCCCCAGAGCTGCCTTGGGGTTGACTTCTTGGGCAGCTGTCCTTCCAAGGTTGTGTGACACATATTTTCACTTGTTCAGCATCCACTTGTCAGCATGGCTCATGCCCAGGACATGAGGTTGAGAAATGGGACTGAAGGCAAAGCCTGGGAGCAGCTCTCAAACCAGAGGCCAGAGACCTCATTATAAACTGACTTGGTCACTCTGGAGTTGGATCTTGAGCTAGCATTAAGTAAAAGGCTACAAGTCAGACCAGGAGGCAGGTTATGAGTAGTCAGGAGTTTACTGAACACAAAGTCACTCAACAAACATTTGCTGAGTGCTCTCAGGATATGAACTGCTATGAGGAGGGAACAGAGAGGGTGTACCCAGCTCTGATGCCAGAGTGGTGTCATCAGCAGGGTAAGACAGGGCAGACCACGTGGGCTTTCTTGACCATTCTGTTGCCTTGGGTCCATTTAGTTAAATGCCCACAAAGCTTCCCACTCCCACATTAGAGATGTGGGGTCCTTTGTGGTAAGTGAGCTCTTGCCAAATGGCCAGGACCGCATCAGGTAATGACCATCTTCAGGTCCTGCAGGGAGTCTCTGGGGAGACATCTTCCTGCTTCGTCCAGACACTGGGAGCCACAAGAGCCCTGAGTTCCAGCCAAGAGTGTTGTTGTGCAGCCTTGGAGCATGGGAAGCAGTCACTGAGCTGCTCCGTCCATCCTGGCTAGGGACACGGCTCAGGAACACACAGCCTCCCAGCATTTCTCAATATTTTAGTGTCTCACGGTCTCACCCGAGTCCCTAATGAAACTACCCATATGACAATCTGTCTGTGCCTTATGGAGGTATGTGTGTGTGCACTTTTTATCCTTTAAAATGCAACCCTTCAAAGTGGACAAGAAACTAGCAGAGGTGGTAGGGTCCAAATGCCGGCAGGGAGTCCCTGAGACCCTCCTGCAGTTTGCTGTTGGACTTACAATGTTCATCCCCACCCTACTCCCACTACCTGTGTACAGACCCTTTGAACCATGTCTGTCCTTTCTGATTCAATACTGTGACTCTCCAGTCCTGTCTAGTATTTGGGGAACTGTACTAAAAGCCCTAGAGCTTGGGGAGTGAGCGGGGAAGGGTTTGCGCTGATCTTTGTGTGTTGTGTGTTCTGATATTTTGTCTGTTTTTATCTGTTTTATATTAACATAACTTTCCTGTTTGAAAAACAAATACAACTTTGGCTTGATTTAAAAAAAAAAACAAAACAAAAAACGTCTAACCAGAATTCGTTTTTTTTTTTAATTGTGCTGAATGTTGTGTTGGTGAGTGAAGGGAGAGCTCCAAATCCTGCCAGCCTTTAAAATAGGTGACACCATGTCTGGAGAGCACCGGCAGCCCTTAGTCCTTTCACCATGTCACTGCACATCTGTAGCAATACTGCAAAAAATCCTTTTGTTGAGGGTGAGCACTGATCATGGTGTTTTGACACCAGCATTGGTTAACGTAGCAGGAAACCAAGACCCCGAAGTGTGCAATGAACGGGGTACTGCCTTCACTTTGTAAGTAACAAACTGCCTAGGGTGGGAAGACCAGAACACAGCCTCTGCCACTGAGTAGATTACTCTGCATCCAGCTCTCCTTTGTTCTCCCTCCCTCCCAGGGTAGGTTCTCAAAACCGCTTGACTGTTCAACCTGCATCCTGTCTCCCATCATCCCTTAGTGGACCAACCCGCATGGTGTCCCTCCTTGAACCAATCCCTAACACCAGGTTGATGTGGGCCCTGATCAGCCAGACCCAGAACATGCATTGGCCTTTTCCTGGGTGCAGTGAAGAGTGCCTGGACAGACAAACTGACAGACATCTCTGTAGGAATGGCTGAATGAAACATGAGACACTACTGTGAACCTGTAGGGTGAAGCCAGGGCAGCCTGACCATGGTACGTTAGTTAGGCCTCTGTACATCAAGAGTCACTTGATTTCAGGGTGGATGTGACTACTGTTATGGTCATGCTTGGAGATGCTCTGGACACTGGTGTCCAGCACTCACAACAGGCAGCCAATGTTAGTTGTTTACACCACAGGAGTGTAAAATGTTAACAAGACATGGGGACAGAAGCTTGGAGGACTGAAGGCAATTCAAGGCCACCCTGTTCTACATAACAAGTTCCAGGTCAGCCAGGGGAAAACAGGGTCTAAAACCACACCCACAGTCTGATTTGATAGATGTGGGGAAGCAGTCCAGCAGCCCCACAACTGGCCATGTTTCACAACCACAGAAAAGTAGCCAGAGTGGGCTGCCCTGAGCAATCATCTCAGTTGATTGCCTAGGATTCCATCTTTTTTTCTCCTTTTCTATTCTTTTCCTTCCTTCCTTCCTTCCTTCCTTCCTTCCTTCCTTCCTTCCTTCCTGCCATCTCACTATCTAGACAAGGCTGGCCTCAAACTCAGAGACCCACCTGCCTCTGCCTCCAGAGTGCTGGGATTAAAGGTGTGTGCCACCACCACCCAGCTGCTTCTAACCTATTCTATAGCAAACAGATTCATTTCAGCTTGAAGTTAGAGTAAAAATTACCTCCCTGTTCTGCCATACCCACAAAGAGCAGCTGACCCCAGCTGAAATTTGTTGGAATTCCCAGGCAGCCAATGTGATTTTAGGATCTGCATTTAGTCTTGATGAGATAAGACCAGGCTGACTAACTTAATTGGGCTTCCTGTAGTCCAGGGTTTAGGGCCCAGATGACTGGGGTGGGCTTGCAGCAGCACCAGGAATGAAAAGGAGAAGATGAGAGAAGTACACAGGCCTGCTCTTCCAAACCTGTCAGAACATCCCGGCTGAAGCACTGCATTAGGAACAACAGGGCAAGAGAAATGTACCAGCCTTTAGCTAGCCACGGAAACCACAAACCCCACAGGATGTCTGCAAGGCCTCTTCAAGGTTCTCATTCACAGAGGATGTGACCAAGGACTCCCTAGAGGAAGAAGTAAATCTTGTCAAAGCAAAACCATTCACAGTTGTGTTTGCTCTCCTTTCAGAACTCGGGCCCCTTCTTTCCCCCGTGATGCCACCTGTTTCTTTGGGGCTGGGGGACATTTTCATGAATACCATCTAATAACCAGGACTCTTTTTTCTTTTTTTTCTTTTTGGTTTTTTGAGACAGGGTTTCTCTGTGTAGCTTTGTAGACTGGGCTGGCCTTAAACTCACAGAAATCTGCCTGCTTCTGCCTCCCAAGTGCTGGGATTAAAGGCATGCACCACCACCACCTGGCTAACCGGGACATTTTTAATAAAGAAAAATGATCACATTAACCTGGGTTCTTTGGAAGTGGAATACATTGTGAGATCTTGTAAAAATAAATGAATAGATAGATAGATAGATAGATAGATAGATAGATAGATAACAAATTTTCTGATCATCAGCGATGGATGAATGGATGGAAGAGAAAGAGAGAAGGAGGGAAGGAGGAAAAGCCAACTTAAGAGCAAAAAGGAGGGAGGGAAATTTTTAAATTTAAAATACTGAACCTGTTGGTTCTAGGTGGCTTCAGGGACAGCCAGAGCCAGGTGTTAGTCATACAACTGCCCCTCTCTATTCTGCTTTCTTCTAGGTTAGTGTCATGCTAGGCAGGTTTACCTGTGGCAATTAAGGTGGCCCCAGTGTCACCTAACATGTCATGCCAACTTAGTAAATGTGTTAGAAATCTGTCCCATTTTGGAGACAAAATACCTGACAAATGTGACTTAAGGAAGGGGTGGGATTTTTTGTTTTTTGGTTTTTTTTTTGTTTGTTTGTTTTTTGCCCACAGTTTCCAAGGATGAAGAAGATAGGGCTGCAGGAGCAAGAGAGGGCTGGTCATACTACATCCGCAGTCAGGAAGTGGAGAGTGATGAATGCTGGTACTCGGCTAGCTTTCTTATTTCCTATTCAGTATGACAGAGTGAGTCTTGCCACCTCAGTTAACCTAATTTAAAGAAATCTCTCATAGACACATCCAAATATTTGTCTCCAAAGTGATTCTACATCCTGTCAAGTTGAAAGTCAATATTAACCATCCCAAACCTACCCCTTATCAACTTGGTACCCAGATATAACATTTTTAAGCTTTAATCTTCAGCCCCATCATGCCTGTTTGCTCATGGACATCTCATAGTACCACACACATGCAGTGCAGCTTCAGAAGCTCCCATAGGATTTAATGGTACAATACTATTTAAAGCCCAAGTGTCATTTGAGACTCAAGGTAACCGCTACACTGTGAGCTCCTATAAAAATAAAAAACGAAAAAATGAAAACAAGTTGCATACTTCCAACACACAATGGAACAGAATAAACATTCCCGTTTCAAATGGAAAAACTGAAACATAGCAAGGAATAATTGGGCCCAAGCAAGGCTAAAACCCACTAGGGCAAACAGCAAATCCTGCAGCTCCACCTCTGTCATCTGGAACTCATGATGGAGCCGTCTGGATCCCAAAGGGGCTTAGGTAGACATGCTTCCAGCCTTGCTCTGTGCCCTCCTGAGCTGGCTCTACTCCATGCCTTCGGCTTTCTTCAGTGGACAGTCCGTGGTTCTTGCATCTCCAGTGTCCTGGGGTCTCCATTGCAGCTTAGGCTTCACCTCCACAGCTTCATGTGAAGGCTTCTTGGGGCCTCTTTGCAGGGACCCCAACCCTGACACACATTATCTGGTCTCAGCAGCTCTCTGGAATGTTTGGCGGGTGAGGTCTAGCCATCAGAGCACCTCTTCTAGTGGCTTGGTGCGGCGGCATAGTTACAGACCCCTGCAGTATGTGCTTTGGCTGCAACTTCAAACTTACTCAAGATCTTTTCTTCAACAAACTAGACTTTTAAATGTCTTTCCTCTCCCCTTGCCTGCACCAAACAAATGACTCGTGTATTCAGGCCCACTCAGGCCCCATTCAAATGCAACCAGACTCTGTCAGATTGTCACACAAATGACCTCTAGCTCCATTGTCAGTAAAGCCGAGGAAGCCTCATGAGCAGGGCCTCCACTGTCAGCGTTTCTTTAGACTCCCCATCTTCCAAACTCCCACCAGAACAGCCCATGAAGTTCTGCTGACAGCACTCGATGGCTTTTCTGGCCAAAGTTCCAAATGCTTCCACACTGTTCCTACAAAACACTTCCAAAGACCCACAAGCCGCATGGTCAGGTTCCTTACAGCAACAACCCCACTTCTTAGAACCAATGTTCTGTATTAGTGACTTGTCTCACTTTGTGACAAAATATTTGATAATAGAAAGGAAGTGGGTATTATTTTGGCTTTTAGTTCCAGGGCATGCAGTCCATCATGACAGGGACAGTGTGGCGGCAGATCAGGAGGGGGGACTAGCCATACTGAGTCCACAGTCAGAAAGCAGAAAGAGATGGATGCTGGCACCCAGTCCACTCTCCTCTTTTTATTCAGTGTGTCGGTTAGGATCTTCCCACTTCAGCAGCTAATCTAGAAAATCTCTCACTGGTGTATCTGGAGTTTTATCTCCAGTGTAATTCTAGATCTTGTCAAGTTGGCAGTTAATATTAACCATCACAGACTCTATATAGAAGTTTTGGAAAAGTCTCAAAGCTTTCTTTTCTTTGATCCAATGGACCAAAAGCCCAGCCCCTGAACCAGTCTGTCACATACCCACACCTGACACAAAGCCAGTGTCTTTACTCTCTAAAGCCCCTCTCCAGAAGGGCAAGCATACCCAAAACAGACCAGTTTGGGCCAGCGTGTTACTGAGGCTGAGGGACAGGCCCATTCAGAAACAAAGGCCATGGATCATTTAGTGACATGCTGGTTGTTGTTGTTAACTTGACACAAGCCAGAGCCATCTGGAAGGAGGGAACTGCAGTTGAGAAAATGCCTCCAGCAGGTTGGCCTGTAAGCAAGTGACAGATAAGGAAAGGTCCAGTCCACTGTGAGCGGCACCACCCTGGACAGGTGGTCCTGGGGTATATAAGAAAGCAGGCTGAGCAAGCCATGGGAGCAAGCCAGTAAGCAGTGTCCTTCATTGTCTCTGGTTCAGTTCCTTCCTCCAGGTTTCTGCCTTGGTTTCCTGCCCCAATTTCCCCTCATTATGGACTGTGAGCTGTAAAATGAAATAAACCCTTTCCTCCCTGAGTTGTTTGTGGTCATAATGGCTTTATCACAGCAATACAAAGAAGAAGTCATCAGTGTCCCTCTTTCTCCCCGCCAGGCACACTTCTCCCTGACCACTCCTAGTTCTTTAATATGTGAGGCCAGCACCCTGGTCCCACCTCCTGCCGCCAGAAGCTGAGCC